CCAGGGAAGGTCATGGAGCAGATCATCTTGAGGGCCATCATACAGCACATCCAGGACAAACAGAAGATCACGCCCAGTCAGCATGGGTTTGTGAAAGGCAGATCCTGCTTGACTAACCTTATCTCCTTCTATGACAAGGTGACCCGCTTAGTGGATGAGGGAAAGGCTGTGGATGTAGTGTACCTGGACTTTACTAAAGTGTTTGACACTGTTTCCCACAGCATTTTGCTTGAGAAACTGGCTGCCCATAGCCCAGACAGGCATACTCTGCTGGGTAAAAAACTGGCTGGATGGCCAGGCCCAAAGGGTGGTGGTGAATGGAGTTAAATCCAGCTGGAGGCCGGTCACAAATGGTGTCCCCAGGGCTCAGTGTTGGGAACATCTTTATCAATGACCTGAATGAGGGGGTTGAGTGGACCCTCAGCAAGTTTGCAGATGACACTAAGCTGGGTGGAAGTGTTGATCTGCTGGAGGGTAGGAAGGCTCTACAGAGGGACCTGGACAGGCTGGATCGATGGGCTGTGGCCAATTGTGTGAGGTTCAACAAGGCCAAGTGCCAGGTCCTGCATGTGGGTCACAACAACCCCATGCAATGCTACAGGCTGGGCGAAGAGTGGCTGGAAAGCTGCCTGGCAGAGAGGGAACTGGGGGCACTGGTCGACAGCCAACAGAATATGAGCCAGCAGTGCACAACATGTCCAGAAGAAAGCAACAAAGCTGGTGAGGGGTCTGGAGCACAAGTCTGATGAGGAGCAGCTGAGGGAACTGGGGTTGTTTAGCCTGAAGAAAAGGAGACTGAGGGGAGACCTTATCACCCTCTACAGCTACCCGAAAGGAGGTTGTAGCCAGGTGGGTGTTGGCCTCTTCTCCCATGTAACGGGCGAAGGACGAGGGGAAATGGCCTCAAGTTGCACCAGGGGAGGTTTAGGTTGGACATTAGGAAAAATTTATTCATGGAAAGGGTTGTCAAGCACTGGAACAGGCTGCCCAGGGAAGTGGTTGAGTCCCCATACCTGGAGGTATTTAAAAGATGGGTAGATGAGGTGTTTAGGGACATGGTTTAGTAGTGAACAGGTACAGTTGGACTTGATGATCTTAAAGGTCTTTTCCAACCAAATGATTCTATGGTTCTATGATAAGATCCCAAATGCCTGTGAATATTGCAAGAAAACTGTTTTCAGAAATTAATTTAATAGCTGTTCTTAATATTATTTTATTCAAGCAGTGATCTTTGATGAGCATTAAGCTCATTAAGCTGTTTTGATGGAAAAACCTAAATGATAGAGACAATTTCTTTAGTAAAACTGACAGAAATAACACATGTAGCTACTATCACCACAGTTCTCATAAAGTTAACATGAAAATGTGCCTACAATCAATACAAGAGTCAGAAATAGGAGGTGAAGATTAATCTCACCCTATATAGTTTTTCCCTTGTGTCTAGGCGTCCAGCTCTGTTACTTGTTTCCAGGTTTCTGTCTGCATGCCACAACCCAGTTTCCTTTTGCAGGTTGCTGTCTCAAGCCCCTGGCTCTGGGCCTGGTTACTTCTGACCTGACATTGCACTGGTTTAATTGTATCTCAAGGTCATATAGTCCTCTGCAGTTTGGACGTTGAACTGATAACATAGTCCATGCTCCTTACGGTGTTATAAAGTGTTTAGAAGTGCAGTGATTCCAAGTGCAGCATCTGTCACAATGACTGCACACCAGCACTGGTCCCACAGAGACTCCAGCTGGGCATATACATGAGAAAATACCTGGGAAATAGGGTGGGACCACGAAACTCCACTTTTTGTTGTTAAACCTGGAAATAAATTTGGACAAATTCCTTAGTATTTTACACCACAGTTCATGTTTTCATAAAATAGGAATCAATTTGATGCTACCTTGAAATATCCTGATGTTAAATAATTAGTTCTCGAAGCATTTTAAAACTATCAGTATGTGCTAACTAAACGCAGCAAGTCATCACCAATACTTGCAGGGTATTTTATAACTTCATTTTAAAATTTATTCTGTAGCCCAACTGTAGTTCAGGTACGGTGTGATACAAGAAGGCTTGGTAGGGCTCCAATACATCTTACCTGGGGTGTTGCTTGGGGCTGAGGATGAATTAAATGTGCCCTGCAGCAAGAAAAGCTGTGGGGGAACCTCCGCAGGAGCAAGCCCAGCTCTGCACCTTTCCGTGGGTCTCGTGAGCAAAGCAACAGGGTCTTTGCCCTGCACAGCCACCTAAGTGGTAAAAGCATTCATTTGTGATTTTCCCCCTCTGCGTAAGAAGGTACATCAACTCCCAAGCTCTAAGGTTTGATGGCATAAGACAATCACAGTGGGGAAGAGGGGAACCATAGTGTTCGCTGAATAGACGAGCCCCCCCACCCCCGCTCTGGACGCTGAAGGAGAGAAAATGGCGGGCTAAGGACTTCGGGAGGCCCCGAGCACGCAGAGAGCTCCTCAGGCTACACTTAGCGCATGAAGAGCCACGACCTCGACCCCGTAGCCTCGCTGCGCCCGCCATGATCACTGGCGACGAGAAGATGAGGTGAAAGAGCAAAAAACCCACCCGAAAAGCAAGAGAGGGCAGCGGGGAGCACGCACCGCCCCTGACAGGCACCGTCCCCGCGGCAGGTGACAGCACCCCCACCCGACAGCACCACCCCAAACCCTGCCGGCGCTCTAGGCCGTGACTCGGCTTTTTCTCCAGGTCCCGCCCCGCGGGCAGGAAGGGGCGGGCGGGCGGCAGCGGCGGTGAGGCGGTGCAGGGAGGGAGGTGGTGAGGGGAGGC